TGCTTAGAGCAGATGGCTGAAGGGAACAATGAAGGGTGCATAGTGGTTTCCCCCCCACAATAATACTGTGCTTTTTCTTTCTGAAATTGCAGCTCTAGCAGTTGTGAATTGTCTTTGCCTACTAAAATTTATCTTGCTTATGTCTATGAGTATTATCATTATACAGTAAGCAAATATATTTGTTTTATTATTCCCTCTAGTGCAGTATCATCATGAGCTTTTACATAAGCCTGCAATTTAAATTGTCACTGTATTCTTATCTACAAGTAAATATTTTATTATACTTCCATATTTGTAAAGGTTGTCTTTGACAATTATGTATTAGTATGCACCATTATGATACATGTGCATTTATGTGGCTTATCTTTTTATGTCATTGATGATAATTCATTTTGGATACTTTTATTTAAAGCACAAAATAAACTAAAGTGGAACTAGGACACTTTAAAATAGGGGGGGGGGGGAAACCCTGCTGTTTTCCTTTCTTACATTTGCTTAGATAGGAAGAATATCATTATATTGGAAGATAACTAAACAAAGAAAGATGCTGAATGAAAGAACATTAAAGAACAAAGAAAAAAACTTCAGAGAACATTTAGCTATTCTCATTCTTTCCCTCTCCTTCACCCCACCTTCTATATATAGTTGCCCATCTTACAAAAACATACTCTGGGCATAGTTATCCATCTTTCAAAAAGCTATTGCCAGTCTTGGTAGAAGTATGGTTTCCTCCTGGATGTTTCCTTGATTAAGGTTTTACTTACTCCCTGATTGTTTATTTGGTGGTATTTCTTACTTCTGGGGGGATGTGTAATCTAGGCTGTTTATTTCTTTCCTATTCTTTTGGTTCTATCTTTTAAATGGTATTTAAAGGGGTTTATTTCTGTGTATCTGCTGACAACTGATTTGTCTGAAAGCCAAGCTACCACAATTCCTTAGCAGTTTTAGATTTGGCTTCATCTAAAAATTTAAATTTCTGGTTGAGACGCTGGTTGAGCTATTCATATGTTGCAGAAATGGAGTTTTTATCATGTTTTTCTGTTGCCAGTTGATGTTTATGGGTACAGTCTGGCAGTCTTCTACCTTTCTGTCCCATGTAGTGATAGTTATAGTCCTAACATTTTATGTGGGAAATGACTCCTGTTTTTTCTTTTTCAATTATTTGCTTTGTGTATTTGCTTCAGGAATAAGCAAGAGTCTTGTTTTAGTACTATGTGCCAGTAGATAAATGTCTTTAAAAATCTTTCTTTCTTTCTTTCTTTCTTTCTTTCTTTCTTTCTTTCTTTCT